GAAGAAGTAATCGAAGCTGTAAATGGTTATTTTGAGGAGCTTGACGAATCAGTCTATAGAGATGGCATTAATAGACTGGAACACCGCTATGAGAAATGTATCAGCCTTGGAGGAGATTATGTTGAGAAATAAAAAAAAAAAATTTTTAAAAACCTTGTTTTTCTTGGTCAGGCCGGAAACTTATCAATCCACCCTCGTAGATAAGGTTACTGTTCGAAAATATTTGGGATGCTCTAGTTTTAGAGAAATTTGAAAATTAATTCAGGACATGAAAGAGTGAAGAACCATGTTCGGACTGACATTTCGATGATGATTATGATGATGAAGTAATTTCGTAAATGGTGTAATAAAAGTTTAAAATCGTGCATTTATTGCGCTTCCATAATTAAGAGTAAGTATAGCAGTCGTTGGCGTTTCAAGGCGTTGAAGCTATTCAAATTGTATGAACTTTTTAGAGGGTGCAATAAATGCTCAGTAAAAGAAAGATGCCGCATAAAAAGGCGATTGTGTGACCAACTTCATTACTTATTTATTCCGACATTAAAAACTTAAAAGGCGAAGGATGTTCAACTATTGTTTTTTTTAATTATTATCGAATGTGAAAGATGAAAAAAATGTTAATTAACATTTTCACTTGGATAGAAAAATCGAAATCTCTTTATTCAAACAACAATAATTTGTTCAAATTAAGTATGTGCTTAAATGAGGAATGCCAGAAAGGCCTGCCTAGACAAAAATTTTCAGTCTCTCTCCAGTCTTTCAGAATCTTTCAGCGTCTCTGAGAGCGTTTCTCACAGTCTTTCACAGTCTCTCAGTTATTGCCTAGGTGTTTTTATGGATCTCTCACAATCTCTGTATGAGAGACTCGAACGACAAAATTGCTAATTCAGAGATTCGAGTCTCTAACAGAGAGACTGAATGAATAAAACTGAGAAATTAAGAGACTCGAGTCTCTCATAGAAAGACTGGGATCTCTGATATATGTTGAACTTAGAAAATTTTAACTATGTCTATCGAGACGCCACTTATTGAGAGATTCGAGTCTCTTGTTCAGAGATTCTAGTCTCTCGTTCAGAGATTCGAGTCTCTCACAGAGAGACTGAATGAATAAAACTGAAAAATTGAGAGACTCGAGTCTCTCGTAGAAAGACTGGAATCTCTGAAATATGTTGAACTTAGAAAATTTTAACCATGTCTATCGAGACACCACTTATTGAGAGATTCGAGTATCTCGTTCAGAGATTCGAGTCTCTCGTTCAGAGACTGGATACAAAATGAGGATCTCTCTATGAGCGACTCGAGTCTCTCGTTCAGAGACGCTAAACAGTTTCTTTGACAGTCTCTCAACAGTTTCTCTCAGCGACACCAGAGTCAGCGACACCAGAGAGACTCGATGAGAGACGGAGACTCGAGTCTCGCTTTCAGAGACTCTGAGAGACTGAACATTTTTATCTCCGGCTTGTACCGGTTGATATTTTATAAATAAATTGCTGCTATTCAGACTTATTTTTCCTTAGGGTGAAGCAATGACATGAATTATTTAAGTATAAACTCAAACTACGTACGCCATTTGTCATAAAATATGTCACAAGCCTAAGCAGTGCATAAATAAGACGAATGTATGGCTCGTGTTCTACCGTTTCTCTACTGTTACTGTTGAATTTTTGTGTTTATTTTTATACCTTTGTCACAATAATCATTTCCGTACGGATCAATTTCCATTTTTTAGTCAAAAATGAAATTTAGAAATATGAGAAGTAAAGAAAATTGCGGTTAACCAACCCACACAGCGAAGTTGGAAAAATGCTTTAAGAAGCAGTTTTCCGGTATTGATGGAACAACCAGCTGTCCCAATTTTTTAGAGAACGAACTGAGAAGAATATTTACAGATCAATCAATCAATGTTAGTGTCGGATAGTTATTTACACCTGTATCTTTCTTATGGTTATAACAAATCATACAGTTTCAAAATATATTGATACAAGGCTTCAGAAATTTTCTACATAAGGTATATGTTACGATGTTAACGAATTTCAATTTTAGTTTTCAAACCAGATAATATAATAAGTTATAAAACAAAACATCTAACGAGTTTAGCTCATTAATACATTAAATTAGTATCATAAAACATTCAAATATTATACTAGAAAGGCAATTTGAATTGCTAGAAATATCATTAACTAAATAGAGTGAATTTAACAGACTCATTAATCGATGTTATAGCCACCAGTCATTTCATTACTGTTAGCTACAATACTGTATAACACATGTAATAGAAAGATATTAATACCTAAAAGGTATCAGTTACCACAATAACAGCGACAGTTTTATTATTTGAGTAGGTTGAATTCGTTTAATTTGATTATTTATTTTTTGCAATTTTAAATCTAAAATATAACAACAAAGTAACAGTCTAAGAGGAGATTTCAACCTCATCCGTCTGTAAACAAATTTTGCACTAACATGATTGAGAAATAGGGGGCGAGGGGTTTCGTTTCTATGTAGGCATACAGCCAACTAATAGGGATAGGGGAATTAAAATACGTCATCAATAATTTACAGAAATGTAGACTGCATTCCGAAATAATGATAACCAACTAAGATATTTCATGTTCTTTTTGTAATAATTTTTGTTAATTTTGCTCTTGCCTGCCACCCCTTTTGTTCTAATTCACGTGTCCGTCCTTCGGGAATTTCATTAAGTCTACGCTACGTGCAAAGGGGCAGTCCACAAGAGCCCTGTAAGAGGGCCTTTATATTACGTTAACAAAACAGATGATTGAATTTACCACAATTACTTTTAATTTTATTAAAACATTGTCAATACTTACAACAAATGATTCTCTTCGTCCCATGCGAGTATTTTCGTTAATTCGAAAGCACCATGTGTTAATGGAATGACGTTGTGGGAATGTATTTGACAAGCGTGCATGAAGTTGCCGTTATCACCGTCTCTGACCGGAAGTCGCATTAGGGCCTGGGCACCGTTGGCCGAAAATACGGGATGAAAAATTGGTTCCGTCCATCCGCACGTTTCTTTTTCTGTGTGAAACTGAAACAAATAACCTTACCTCACTACAAACGATGCGATGTTCGAAATAATACGTATAGTTGGGACGCTCAAAGTTGGCATAGTCACCAATAAAACTGTCGCATTTACTTTCTTACTTTTACAAACACACAAACAAAAATAATTATCAAACATTATTGTTAAATCAACTTAATTTCATTCCACTACAGATTACCTCAAGTTAATGAGGTAAAACTGTTTGTTGCTACTGTTATTGCTTCGTCGGGAATCGAACCAGAAGTATTAATAAAAGAAGTGGGTACTTAATACAATAGGTTAATATCGAATTCGTTTGTGTTTAAGTTTCGTCCATAAATTCATCCTATTGTCTTTCAAAGTCTTTCAGCGCATCTGAGAGCGTCTCTCACAGTCTTTCACAGTCTCTCAGTTATTGCCTAGGTGTTTTTATGGATCTCTCACAGTCTCACGATAAAATTGTTAATTCAGAGATTCGAGTCTCTCACAGAGAGACTGAATGAATAAAACTGAAAAATTGAGAGACTTGAGTCTCTCGTAGAAAGACTGGGATCTCTAACTTAGAAAAATTTATCCATGTCTATCGAGACACCACTTATTGAGAGATTCGAGTCTCTTGTTCAGAGACAGTCTCTCTCATCGATACCCAGAGAGACTAGATGAGAGACGGAGACTCGAATCTCGCTTTCAGAGACTTTGAGGGATTGAACATTTTTATCTCGGGGAGCATAGCAAAAGTCTCTTTCGCTCTTTATCATCGATGGAGTATCAAGTCTCTCCTCTTAAATGGTGGACCTGGTTGAATTTTTAACCATTTTAAGTAAACTAATTTTTTTCCTAAGCATCCTAAGGCTGCTCCCCTTTGAATAGGGCTCTGTGTGAATCGAACGACCAAAGCGAAGAGTATAATATGGCTGCAATATACGAGGGCGGTTCAATAAGTACCCGTGTTTGAACACAGAGGACGTTCCTGAGGGAAATTGGTGTTGTCATCGTGTGCTGCCATTTATCAAACCACGCCAAAACGAAATTCAGACTGATTGCTAGGTTAGTTTGGATTTGGCAGCCATTCGATTGAGACGTGTTTCGTTATTTTCACTAAGATGGAAAGAGCAGTATCGTTCGGTAACTCGCTTTTTGTTTTTGGATGGGAAAAAATGCGAGGAGATGAAAACAAAGTTGGATACTGTTTATGGAGACATTTCGCCATCTACGACCACAGTTAGATATTGCTTCAACGAATTTAAACGTGGGCAAAGATCCGTTTTTGATAGGAGCGACCAGGAAGCCTGGCAAACGTTGTTACCGAGGAAATCATTTTACGGATTTTTTAGGAAAAGGAAGAACGATCACTGGACAATACTACAGTGAGTTATTGGACCGCTTCGACAAAAAATTGAAGGAGACACGGACGCATTTGACGAAAAAGAAGGTGCGTTTTCAACACGATAACGCACCGGCACATTCATCAGGAGTTGTTGCCGCCAAAATGCATGAATTACGTTATGAATTTGCTGCCGCACACCCCGTACTCACTCGATTTGACTCCCTGCGACTTCATCTTGTTCCCTACCATGAAGAAATGACTAGCGAGAAAGAAATTTAGCTCAAACGAGGAAGTCATCGCCGAGACAGGGGGGATTTTGGAGAGTTCGACAAATCTTATTTTTTGGAGGGGTAAAAAAAATGGCAGGGTCGTTGGGAGAAGTGTATCTTTCTAAAAGGGGACTATGTTGAAAAATAAATAAACAAATTTTAAAAAAAAAGGTGTCTTCATTTCTAACACGGGTACTTATTGAACCGCCCTCGTATTTCTAACCAGAACGGAGTTGATTGACTTCTCTTTTGGATTCACATCTGTCTCATATTGCATAAAGGCTATTTTTTTCATTTGAATAAACAGTATTCTCCATATAAGTACAGAAATTAAATAAAATAATTAGAGTAAAGTTCAGCGTTATTATATGCGCCATTCTGTTTAACAAGCAAGAAAATTTTCATGTCTACTGAGGCGTTGCGACGTCAACTGGTAGAGAGCGTCTTGTGCGATAATCGACGTTGTTTTAAACTTTACAACAGCTGTTGAAGTCGGTCTCGTATAAACGTAAACTATGTAGGTTTCTACACGTGAAGTATGAGAAGTTAAGAAGGGAAGAAGTAACTGAACACTTTTGACATCGTTCACTTACATAAAGTTTTTACTAGCTACATACATAATAAAGTTGTAACACTTTGTTCAAAAGGTAAAACATTTATTAAAATCAAAACCGTTTTTATCGTACTAGTCAAACTTATGATTTTTATAAACGACAAAGTAGAAATGCTCGTTTGGGTACGATTTGCACATTGGATAGGAAGGTAAAATACAAATCAAAAACCTTAATAAACAATTTAATTGAGACGAATCGCCTCACAACATAGGGGTTTTGATCTGTTACCTATTATTAAATTAACTGTGATGTTCGAGGTTTCGCCTGTTTGGAATTCAGTTTGTTTCTCCAAGTAGTATTCTATCAATTAATAACCTTACATACATTTAGATATATGATGTTCTAAACTCTGAAGGTCTATTCTAATTGGGGTGAAAAAATTTTTGAAGCTGGAAAAGTAGTTTTGAAGTTTACCTCCTTTATCCAAACTTGCAAACTTTACCTCATCATAATAGTGTAGATTACACTGTCACCGCTACCTTTTAATCAATACATAGAAGACACAATCAACATGATTAAAGACAGTACAACTGTAGGGATAGATATACAGGGGCAGAAGACTAGTACGCTTAGATTTGCAGATGGTATAGCAGTATTAGCATCTAGCAAGGAGAAGTTAGAGATAGCTTTAAATAAAATTGAACAGTACTGTATGAAAATAAATAAAAGTAAAACAAAAATACTGGTATGCAAGGGAAGGAAAAGTAAGGAACGGGCAAATATAAAGATAAGAGACCAAAAATTAGAAGAAGTGGTCGATTTTAGGTATCTAGGATGTCAGATAAGTCAGGACGGAAGGAGTAGTAGTGATATAAAGCAGAGAATAGCGCAGGGTCGAGTAGCCTTCAATAAAAAGAAGCCACTTCTATGCTCGCGAACGGTTAATTTAGAAATTCAAAATAGATTGTTAAAGGTGTATGTTTGGAGTATGGCGTTGTACGGGTGCGAAACATGGACAGTGGGCGCGGCGGAAAAGAAAAGGTTAGAAGTGTTCGAACTGTGGTGTTACAGGCGAATGATGAGGGTTCCGTGGATGGGGAAGGTTAGAAATGAAGAGGAAAGAGTAATAAAACAGAGGACTCTATGGAATTCAATAAGAAATAGGCGAGATAGGTTAGTAGGACAACTTCTCTGGCATGAAGGTTTAGTCAGAGACATATTATTGGCAGAAACGGAAGTTAGGAGAGGTAGAGGTAGACCTAGATTACCGTTTGTAAATAGTTAAGGGTATGGGTTGTTCTTCCTTCAGGGAAATGCGAAGATTAGCGCAGGATGGGAAAGAGTGGAGGTGCGTGACCAACGAGTCTTTGGACTGACGACCTTATGGTGATAATGAGATTACATTATATCTTTTACGATGTTATCATTACCCATTGAACCCGTATGAGTTTAGGTGGTCACTCCATGATAACAATTAAACCTTTTCGTTTTATTAATTAAATAAAAGAACTGGAACTCGTTTCAACTTCAAATCTTAGTCAAATGGATTTCTTCCAATATTTAGTAAAGGTTGGACCCGATTGTTGTCAACTAGCGAACTACGAAAGGTCTAAAACTGGTCCACTATCTGAAGTTTCAGTGGAGTAAGAAATATGTTTTCTGTGGACCTCGATACAAATTTTCAAAAACATTCGGACCTTACCTAAAATTACAGACCATTGATTTTGTTTGTACTCAAAACTGTCATCATCAATATAAGGTCATCAATCCTAATCTTCGCATTTCCCTAAAACTAGAACATCCCACATCCTTAATTATTTGTGAATAGTAATCTAATCTAGGTCTAACTCCTGTTTCTGCCTCTAATTAGTCTCTGTCTAGACCTTCTTGCCTGAGAAGGTTCCCTAGTAACCTGTCTCGCCTATTTCTTATTGACTTCCATAGAGTCCTCTGTTCTCCTATTCTTTCTAATACTTCTTCGTTTCTAACCTTCTCCATCCACGGAACCCTCATCATTCGCCTGTAACACCACATTTCGAACACATCTAACCTTTTCTTTTCCGCCGCACCCACCGTCCATGTTTTGTACCCGTACAACGCCGCGCTCCAAACATACACCTTTAAAAATTTTTCTTGAATATCTAAATTAATCGTTCGCGAGCACAGAAGTGACTTCCTTTTATTGAAGACGATTCGACCCTGCGCTATCCTCTGCTTTATATCCCTACTATTCCTCCCGTGCTGACCTATCACTGAAAATCACTGACAAAACAGATTGTATGAAATCACAGGAATAAATTAACAACTGATCCAAAATGATTTTTAAATTCTGAGTATGATTAAATATTGAGGAGTCAAATTTAACAAGTACAAATNATTTCTTCCAATATTTAGTAAAGGTTGGACCCGATTGTTGTCAACTAGCGAACTACGAAAGGTCTAAAACTGGTCCACTATCTGAAGTTTCAGTGCTACCCTTATCAATTTGTGGAGTAAGAAATATGTTTTCTGTGGACCTCGATACAAATTTTCAAAAATATTCGGACCTTACCTTTGATTTTGTTTGCACTCAAAACTGTCATCATCAACATAAGGCCATCAGTCCTAAGACTGGTTAGACACGCACCTCCACTATTTCCTGTCCTGAGCTAATATTTGCATTTCCCTAAAACTAGAACATCCCACATCCTTAATTATTTGTGAATAGTAATCTAATCTAGGTCTTCCTCTACTCCACCTAACTCCTGTTTCTGCCTCTAATTAGTATCTGTCTAGACCTTTTTGCCTGAGAAGGTTTCCTAGTAACCTATCTCGCCTATTCCTTATTGACTTCCATAGAGTCCTCTGTTCTCCTATTCTTTCTAATACTG